AAGGTTGGCAATTTTTAGGCTCAAATTGGTTGACTAAAGATAAGTCTCTTTGAGTTTAAGTGTTTGGGAGTTAGGGTAATCAAAGATGGCCTTTTATCCTTAGATTTTGAACTTTTAGCATTGTTGAGTGATGACAATCACTTAGCTTAAGATAGCATACCCCTCACTTTGCACTCAACACTCCCCGGGTTCATGATATGGGTATCCAAGAAGTGATCATTTTGGCTTTTATTCATGATCTTTGCCTTTTATTTTGGCTCAAAGTGGGTAGCTAAGGATGATATTTGTGTTTGGGAAAAGAAACATGGCCTTTCTTCATTGAACCTTTCCACCTTTGAACTCCTTTGTGGCTTTTCTCTCTCTTTTTTTGTTTTTGCATCATTGCCCAAATCATAGACCTTGAATTGAGATATCATCAACATATCCTTAGAAAGAAAAGACTTAATCCATCAAGAAGCAAGGAATTATTTGAATAAGGAAATGAGTAAGGAAATTGTGTAATGGAATTTTTGACATCACCTTCAATTAACAGTAACATTTAGAACATGTCAAACATATAGAAAATTTTGATGAAATTAAGGCCATTTTCAACTCCAACCATGATTTTGGGCAGAATCAATGATGGTTTTTGATTTACACATACTACAAATGATAGGAAAACAAAGATAACTAACATAGATCATTACTTTAGGAATCCTTTAGGTTTGAACTTGATCATTGCATTGCAAGTTTTGTTGAGGACTTGTCATTGCTTGAGATTTAGACTGACCAACTATAGAATTGCGAGCATATAAAACAAACTTTCTTCTTGTGAGCAATTTTGAAGGCAATAAAAAAAAATGTGAACTAAAGTAATAAAAGAATTGAATTTGAAAATTTTTTTTTATGCTTGAAGAAACAAATTTTGGATCTAAGTTTTTTTTTGTATGAATTAATGAACATGCAAGGATGATGAAAATTTTGTAGTACAATGTAAATTTGGTCAACATATTTTGATGAAGTTCAATTTAGTCCTTTTTTGGTGAAAAGAGCAAATGTCATGAAGTTAAAAAAAAATGATTTTTTTTTTTTAACAAAATGTGAAATGCTTTGGATTTAATTAGGTAAGGCCAAGAAGTTTGAAACATGCAAGTGTTAATTTCGTGTAGAAAGTGTAAGAGGGTGAGATTTTCTTTGAAAGAGAGTTTGGAAAAAAAAATTTTGTGGTTGTAGAAAGTGATAACTTGAAGGACTTAATTGAAAAAACAAGAAAATATGAGGACCAAATTCAACTTTATTCAAAAGAGAAAATGAGCATGAGATGAATGTCAATTTGATGTGAGATGGAAGATGTGATGTAAGGTTGAATATGGACTGCAATGAAAAATGGGATGGGAAATGTGATGTGAACTAAACATAGATGAGATTTTCATTTTTTATGCGACTTTTTTTTTTTATGAAACATGGGAAATATGAGAAATCTAAGATGGAGATAGTAATGCTTGAAAAGGAATATGAGATGAAAAATGAAAATGGATGAAATTTTGTTTCCATATGTGATGAGATTTTTTTATATTTAGTGAAATTTTTTATATGAGATGGAGGATGTAAATGCAATGAATATTGGTGGAATTTCTTTTTTTTTTCTTCTTTTTGAAATTTTGTGAAATATGAGATGAAAAATGAAATGGAGAATGTCATATGAGATGAACATGAAAACATATTTTGCGATGCATGAGATGGCAAATGCGATACAATAGACATATGACATGTGAAAGGTTGATGATAAATGGAAGATTTAACGTGAAATGAATGGAATGGGCGTATGACATGTAAAACAATTATGCAATTTTTTATTTTTATTTTTTTTTTGATGTATGGAATAGAAAGTGAAGGTGCCAAAGTGAATGGTGTCATGTAGCATTGAGTAGAAAGTGAAAAGCAAAGTGCATGGAATGAATGAATGTTATGAATGTCATGAAACTTGACACGATTGACTTAATTAACACCTGCAAGTGCGAAAAGTAAGGTAAGATGTAAAATGCCCCCTTGGGTACCTAGACACAGGGAATCCTAACTTCACTGGTGGTTTTCTAGGCTGACAAGTCCTATGGGTGGTTTCTCTTTAAGTTCACTGCATACTTTCCTAAAGGACATTAGGCCTTCTCAACCATTCATCTTTTCAGAATCCATGGGAGATATTTCCAAATGCTAATACACAGGATGATATTACATCATCAGGTGTCATATTAACCAATGGAAACAACCTAACGAGAATCGATCTTACTCCTCAAAGCGAGAAGAATTGCTCTTCCAAGCCAGATTCATAAGGATTCCAGACTAGAGGTCGGGTTCACCTCAGACACGGACCTAATGCAAAATGAGAGTGATTGTGTGCAAGGGGCATGACACTAAAAGCAACCACAAAAATAGCAACACATATTTCACAACAAGCAAATAAAAAATGTAAAACACTCAACAAATATAACACCCGCAAACAAACCTACTTACACAGCAGGAAGGAACTCACCTCGTACTCCCATGCCAAATGCAAAAGGTTAACACATTCACATACAAGCAAGGAAGCATGTAAGCATGATGCATGATGAATAAGCATGTAACATCAGTGATGCATGAGGATGTGAGATGATATGATGCATGAACATGTGAGCAAGATATGATGCATGCCAAGATGTAGCCAAATAACTACTCAAAAGCAAAATAGTAAAGCAACCATCAAAACAACAAGCAAACAAGAAACAAAGAACAAGCAATGAGCACATGCAACGAGTAACAAAAACCCACAAAGACTCAACAAACAAAAGAAAAATCAAAAGCTGAAAAATTCCCCAAAGTTAAAGTATTAGCTCGACCCTCGTGAATCCAAAACATGAAAACCAGAGATTCTGGATTCAGTCCCCAGTGGAGTCGCCAATCTGTTGACGACCACTTAAGATTTTTTCAAAATAAATTGAAAAATCAAGTGTGAAATATATAAGAAAAAGGGAGTTGCCACTCGTCCAAATTATAAGGTGGGACAAGTCACCTAAAACGAATCTGCGCAGAGATCGGGGTTCGGTTAGGAGTGAGGAAGGGCATACGCGCACCTCACAATCCTCCGTTTAAACACGGTTGCATACTTTAACATTGGGGGTTTTTAATTCAACTTATTTATTATCTTTATATTTAAGTCTTAATAGGGAAACTTAAAAAAGGATAAACCAAATTGAAACATTTTTTAATTTTTGGACTAAAATGGACAAAATAAAAGACATGTATGCACAATAAGCACAAATAAAAATTAAATGGACTGGTTTGAAAAGGTTTGAAACTTTTGGACTAAAGTGCTTGAACATGAAAATATTGTGCGGAATTGAAATAAAAGAGATAACTTTTCTTTTTTTTTTTTACTTTTTAACCTTTTTATTTTTATTTTTTTTTATTAAATCGGACTGACCCGACCCAAAACACGCTTCAAGCATAAAAATAGACAAAAAGAAGATCAAACATGCAACCAAAGCGGGAAAACTAGGATTCATGTAATTTCCAGTAACAGCGACACATTCATCAGAAAATAAACTGAATAATTTTTCTTGATTTTTTTCATTCATTTTCCAAGGAAACACATACAAACTTAAACACAGTTCTAAACAAAATCAACAGAAAATAACAGAAACACCCACGGCGGAATTTTTAGGAGGAGGTAGATCCAGATCGGAAGGGAGGGATCCCACCCACGAGACCAGGCTCCGTTCGTCTCCTTCACTACCCTTCCCAAAAATCCCTCTGTTCAAGAGATTACCTAAAGCAAGCAAGAAACAGACACAGAAAAATAAGCCTCTTTTCAATCACCGTCGACCTCCAAAGAATGTTCTCCTTCGTCAACACCACACCACCTTCAAAAACAAGCCAAAACCCCCCCTTTTTTCGGACTTATCTCCTCTGTTTCTCTTTTTTTTTTCTCTTCCGTTCCCCCCCACCTTGTATTCTGCTTTTTGCTCCATATATATACCCAAATAAAAGATAAAATAAAAATAAATAATAATAAAAAAAAAAGGCCTTGCTCTGTCAATCAATGATGAAGATTTTCTGGCATGTACTGTAGCGAGCAGAGGCAGGGGTATGGCTCGGTGCAGAGGGCATGATTGCTGGCGCAGAGTGCAAGCGTGCAAGCAACGTGGGTTCGGCGCAGCAGGCGGCAAGGGCTGGTTCGGTGCAGCAACAGGGCGCAGAGCAGGATCGGTGCAGAGCAGGATCGGTGCAGAGCAGGGGGCGCTGAGCAGGGCTAATTCGCGGTGTGTGGGGGGGCAGCAGTGCAGGGGCGCAGGCGAGCAAAGGGGCTTGGAGCAGGGCAAGATTCGGGTGTGTGGGATTGGGGAAGAAGTTTCCAGATCCAATTTTTTATTTCCCCCTTTTTTTTTTTTGGGTTTTGGCTTAAATGGGTTTTGGGTTTTGGGTTTGGTATTTGGGTTTTGGGTAATTGGATTTGAGTTTGGTTTTGGGTTTTGATGGGTTTTGGGTTTGGGTTTTTAGGTAATTGGGTTGGACTTGTAAATTCATTTTGATGAACTTCACCCCTCCACCTTTTGATTTCTTCAATTGAGTCCCTTGTCTTGATTTCCTTTTCCATTTGCTTCTTGAATTTCCCCTTTTTACACCTGAAAGAAAAATGAAGATGCATTAGTTAAAGAAAAGAGAGATTGTCATATTTTCATAATTTTTGATTTTTTTTTTGATTTTTTTAATTAATTTTTGTGATTAATATATATATTTTTTGTTTTTTTCTTTTTTTTATGTGAAAAGTTTAAATAAGCTGAATGAAAAATCGGGTTATGACAAGAAGCGCTATTTCTAGACTTTGCTAGAGAAACTCTATTTTTGGATTTCGTTGGAGAGACTCTATTTCTGGACTTCATTGGAGAAACTTCACTTCCAAACTTTGTTGGGGAATTTGTTGCTAACCAACATCGCTAGACATCTTGGAACTCTATCGTCATTGCCAGCTCTCCTTCTTGGCTTGGTTGGAAAACTTACACCTTCAAACTTTGCTGGGGAATTTGCTATTGACCAACATTGCTGGCAAAACGAGACAGCTCATGGCACGTAGCCTCTTGCACATGAAACGAGTGCCACCAAAAGGGCTTTCCTCATCATTCACAGGTGGCATCCTAGTTAGCCTCCACATCATCACCACTTCACCAGCACATCCCCAACAATCTTAACCTTTACTTCTATACATATATATTTGTTATTATTTAATGCCTTTTTTATTTCCATTTTATCTTACTAATTCAATTTCATTTATTTTGGTAGGAAATGATTAAATTTATAAGATATTAAAAAAAGGTTTGAGTATTTTCTTTATATTATAGATTTTATCAATTTTCTTTGAAATTGTATTTTAGCAATTATATTTCAAATAGTATGGGGTTTTTTTACTTTTAATTTTGTTTATGTTGTAGATTTTATTTTATATTTAAGAAATATTATAAAATATAATATGTAATATATTATTTTTTGTTTTTATATTGTGTAAGTATAGAAGAAATATTTTTTTGTGAATCTTTTAGACATATAACATATAATATTTGTTTTTTTTTTCCTGTTGTGCAATTATATTTTAGATTGTTTTTGGTCTAGGTAATTTTCGAACCCTAAAAAAGTTTCGGTATACTGACACAAAAGGATTGAACCTTTTAATTTTTCTAAATAGGGCTGTAATTTTCAAACCAATGTTGGTTTGAAAATAGTTTCAGTATACGGACATCGAAGGACCGAAGTTTTTTTGTTTTTTAAATAAGCCCTTCAAACTGCTATTGGTATGAAAATAGTTTCATCATATTGAGATAAACGGACCAATTTTTTCCTATTTTCTAAACAAGCCTTCAAATTTCAAACCAACTTTGGTCTGGAAAAAGTTTATGCAAGCTAACACATAAGGACCTAATCTTTTTAATTTTTGTATGCAAGGCTAGTATTTTTCAAACCAAAAATGGTTTGAAATTTCACCCAATTTTTAAACTACTGTTGGTCTGGAAATAGTATGTATCTAGACCGATTTCAGTCTGACTTAGGCTCATCACTGGTCCAAATGTTGGCCTATATACAAACCAATATTCGTCTGAAAATATTTTTTATTTATACCGAGTTTTTGGCAGTCTGAAAGTAATCTTACTCAGACCATGTTTTTTCAGACCTATTATCCAAATCAATAACAATCTGAATAATTATATTCAGACCAATTTCTAATATTTTCATACCGATTTGTCGGTTTGAAATATGACTGTTTTTGATAGTGTTTTTTAGGATAGATCTATTTTTATTCTCTTGTTGTGGAGGTGGATTTTTTTTTTTTTTTTTGGAACGATTTACAATTTGGGGGGCGAGGGATTCGAACTCCAATTTTGGAGCTGGGGGATGAACCTTATGATAGACGTAAAGCCATTGGGCACGAGGCTAGGTGCTGGAGGTGGATTTAAAAGGAGTCAACAAATTACATATGCTCACATTATAACCATTAGATGGAGTGGGAGTTGTTACTTTAAAGGTTTAATTGATATTTTGAGATTCAAGATTTGGTAAATTAAATATTAGAAATTAGAGACCTAAAAATAAAGAATAGAGTTTGAAAAGAAAAATATAAACCGTAAAAGAACCATTAACCTGTTGACCAATTGGCCCTTATAGCATTACTCATCATAAAATTACTCAAGTTAAAAGACAATGCATTGGGGTTGGTCTTACATCCTATTATCCATTTATTTTCTTAGCACTTGAAAAGTTAGAGGTTAGTCATAATCTGCCTCTCATCTTACGGAAGAAAATTAATTTTGTACATTAAATTTTGTTTTTATCATTTTCATCCTCAAATTCATTTCATATCATTTCAATCCTTTTCATATTATTATTGGGATTGCATTCCCATAGCTTTTTTTTCTCACAACATCTAACTAAAAGGGTTAATTTATTATCATTAAATTAAATTTAATTGATTTTTTTTATAATTTAAATCATATTGATATATAACACTCTTTTTAAAATAATTATCAAATAATAAATACTTTTTATGATAGTAAAATAATAGAAATATCACAGCTACACCACTTTACATCAATTCCATATGCAACCATAAAGATTATATGTAATATGAGAAAATGTGAAGATTAAACAAATTTAAAATTGTTAATTATATTATAAAATAAAGGGAAAATAGCAAGATAATAAAATAAAAGTGAGGATTTTTTATTTTATCAAATACGACTTTTCCATGTTTAAATCATATAAACTTATAGACCTATTTATAGGATAAAGGAAATGTGGGGTTACATTAACTATTGAATAAGACTAATTAAATGAAGGAATAAATGTCACCTTAATGGAGCCATGAATGACACATTATTGGAGATGAGTTACAACATTAAAGAAGCTGAAGCATCCATTAATAGAAAAATTCACAAGAAACTATTCTTTTTTATAAAATATTTGTTCATTTATATTTTTGTCACGCCCCAAAATTAGGAGCAAAATAGATGCCATGCACTTGTGAACAAGTCCCACAAATGCACAAGGCTCGGAATCTACTGTGTTCATAATTATCAATTTACATAACTTAAATCAAAGAAACTCGGTTAATATCTAACTTTCAATTACCAAAAAAATTTCACTAGTCTAGATGTACAAAAGTTTATAAGACAGTGATAGCTATAACCAAAAGAAACTTAGTATACAAAAAAAAGGATTTATCAGTTCACATCTATGTCAAGCATGTGTGGCTAACGACCTAAGCCCAAAAAGGATCTAAGTCCAAAATACTGACTAGTCATCTAGCTCGTCACTTCCCCTGGTTAACCATGCCTCAGGTCTCACTTCCTGAAATGGTGGTCTCACTTCCTGAAATGGTGGACAAGGAAAACTATGAGATAAGATATCTCAGTAAGTAAAAATATGGGTAGCCTATGAGTAAAATTTTAGCATGCCTAATAAACAATTTAACATAACAAAACATTCAATGATAAACCGTTAATGCAGAATAAGATTCAGTAGTAGTCTCATCTATAAGTCAATAACAAAGCGTTCAATGATAAACCATTAATGTAAAATAAAATTCAGTAGTAGTCTCATCTATAAGTCATGGCCAATGTTTAACAACTCCCACTGGCAGGCGTCAATTTCAGTAATAACCAATGTATTATCCCATTGGCAGGATTATAGAATGAACCGGTCTTATCGGTAAACATGTCAACATGTGCTAGCGTTTCAAACTCCCACTAGCGGGGGTTAGTAATCAGTAATCATGACTATATTAGAGACAAAACCATGCAAGATTACAGGAAAAATCCGTAATTCACAATCAATCTCAAATTTCAAGAATAAATCGAAAAAATTTCCATGTGGGCATGGATTTAACAAGAAAATCATAATTTACAAAAATTCTCAAATCATCAGGGTAGTTATGTAAACTCCAAGTAGGCATGCTCAACTCAATGAAAATGATAATAATTCCATTTCAAACCAATCATGCTCGGTGCTAATAAAATCAATTTAAACTTTGCCACCATCTCAAAAACAATTTAAAATATGCTTTTACTTTGAAATCGAAGAGCATTACCATAATTTACTTACCTCAATCACATAATACAGAAAATTCACTCCAAGTGCTAGGGTGACAGAACAGTCAAGAACCTAATCAAAATATTCTAGAATTAATAACCATATGACCGGACATCTCAATTTTATTCTCAATATAAACTAAACATTTAAACCTTCTTATTGTTGCCTGCCATTAATCCCATAAAGAGACCTCACTTCTTTATTTATTTATCCTTATTTTTTCTTCTATCTGAAATTGAGCACAAAAATCAGATTGTGCATTTATATATATGTACATAACACGCATATGCAAAATTCTCCAATCACGGACAACAACATGGGGGAGCCGGCTTTGACAATCAATGGCTAATTTCACTGGATTTTTTCTCTAAAATCTCACAGCAGTCAATTAACACTCAATCACATAAATTCTACTTGAATTAATGCTTAAATTTGTTCTAATGCTACCAGAATTCATCCCCCTAATTCAACAAAAATTCGGATAGTGCAGGGCAGCAATCAACTGGATAATTTTAGCAACTAATGGGTAAATTTGGACTTAGATGGAGCTGTCACATACTAGAATTTAGCAAGCAAAAACCGGAGCTGCAGTTTGGGAAAGGCCGGTGGGAAGTGCATGGGAATTTCGGGATCTACCAGAAATTGGAAGAACCAAAAGAAATTAGAGTAAACCCAAGCCAAATTAAGGGAGAAAAGAGGAATTGGTGGCTGTA